CCCACCTCTGGCCAGAGGCAATGTAGGCCACGAATGCCGACGGAGACCCCCAGGACCCTGCGAGGGACACTGCCTCCCTCACATGGGGACACTATCAAGCTGTCCAGATGTTCAGTGAAAAGTCCCCTTCAGGCTGTGCCACCGACTGGGCCAGCTGCAGTTACAGAAATTCCTCGCCCTCACAGCCCCACTCAGACCCCAGCCCCTGAGCCACGCTGCACCGACTCCCAGGAGATCAGCACCTTCCCTGAGGCCGATGTTTGTTCAGAGCACTCAGCTGATCCCAGACAGTCTCGGGGCCTGGCGTTTCCCTTCCCACAGGCCGCAGCCCTCCCAGCCCGCCGCTGTCCTGTCTGCCTCCGAGGACGAGGTGGGCTGTGCTCGAGCCTCCCGGGGCTCCAGGACACTGGACCAGGGTCTCTCCAGGCAGGATGGCTCCTGAAGTGCTGCCCTACCCACACACTGGGTGGGGAACAAGGCTTGGCCACCAGTAGCCAGGTGGGGTGTGGCCCTAGGGGGTTGCCTGCAAAGCGGCTGGTGCTTGCTTGGCATTTGGGTGCTCCAGGGACGGAGCATGAGTGGGACCCAGGAATCTGACTGCTTGTGGCAGTGCCAGCTGCCCTGGGGGTACCATCTAAGCCCCGAGATGCCAACAGCCATGGGCACAGCCCCTGCCACAGGACAGCTCCAGCCCTACGCTTCCAGGGCGCATCCACAAGGGCCCCCACGCCTGCACACACCACGCCCCCCTAGCACAGTTCCTGTACCTGCCTCAGGCTCAGCCATGCCCCACTGCAGCCCTCCCTCCCTTCCTGCCTACCCCTCCACTCCAGCCCACGTGGGCTTTGCTCCTGGGACCACCTGTTGTCAGCACTTGTCCCTGCCCTGCCTGTGGCCCCCCGGCCACACCCCGGGCCCCACACAGGGTCTGCAGAGGCTCTGGGCTTTGCTGAGAGAAATGGTCACTGGCCTGAAACTCGAGGGGAATCACCAAACTCGTCATCCCTCATGGAGCCTGGCAGGTGGGCGTCCACCGAAATTTCCACTGCAGGCACCCCCACCTCCGGGTCCGGCACAGCTGCTAATCCCCACCAGCCCTGTCCCAAAGCCCACAGGGCAAAGACCGAGGCTGCTTCCCCTCGGCACTATGGGGAGGACAGAGCACCTCGCCCTGTGGGGACGGGGCCTCTGGGCCAAGGCTGCCGGTGCAGACAGCAGGCAGAATCTGCATGGGGCAGGCACAGCTCAGGGGCCCCATCTACCCCCAGACACAGAGGAGGGAGCTGCTGGGGTCCTTCCTGGGCTGCCCCTCCCCCTGGGAGGTTAAAGAGTTCCCCCTTCCCTCCTCTTCCTGCCCCCCAACTGCCCAGCCAGCAACAGGGCCAGGCCACGTGGTGATGGGGCAACGTCCCCTGGGCCCAGGAGCAGCCCCTACTGTGGCAGGGAGGCTGTGTGCTTCATGATGTGGGGGGGGACATGAAAGGCTTCCTCTCAGGACAGGCCCTGCGGACCTCCCTGGTCCCCACCCTGGTGAGGGTCTCTGCACTGCCCACACGGCAGCACCCTTGGCCTGAGCACGCTAACGCTCCCAGGAAGCGGGTCGAACTGTGCAGCTTAGTGACCAGGGCAAGGTCGATGCAGCCGCACCTGAGTGGGAATCTCGGCTCCCTGGGGTGAGTCACGCCACTGCCCCACGCTTCAGTTTCCCCTCTGTGACTCAGGGCATGGCAGGGTATCTCGGGACCGTGCTGAGGACTAAATGTGCTAAAATGCCCAGGAAGCCCCAGGCCCAGGCAACGTCTGGACACATCAGCTGTGGTTCATCCACCCTCTTCCCGTCCAGACGCCGGCCTCCTCCCCGCACAGGATGCCTCACTCCCAGCTCTCCCGCCTCCCGAGGGCCACGGGCCCCTGACCGTAGAGACTCAGTGTGGGGGGAACCTGTACCAGGCTCACGTCAGCCCTGACCACGCTTACCTGGCAAGGCAAAAAGGAAAGGGTGGGGAGAGCGGGGCCGGCCAGTTACCTGCAGCCGGCCCAATGAACACACAGTACCCGTCCTCCTGGGTTGGGAGCGAGGCACAGGCGACAGGCAGCCGGCCCCCACTCAGGCGGCTCCAGCACGTGTCCTGCAGGGCCTCGCAGAATTGGCGGCAGGGTGGCGGGGCGGGCAGCGGGACCCTGCCGCACGGTGGGGCCAGGAGCAGGCAGAAGAACCAGGCGAGGAAGGGGTGGCAGTGCGTCCGCAGCAGGCCCCCCCACACCTGCGCCGCGGCCTGCACCTGCTGGCTGCTCTCGTGGTGGAGGTGATTGGGCAGCCAGGAGCGCGAGATGCCCAGGTGGCCACAGACCGGCAGGGAGGGCGGCAGGGGCAGGCAGCGACCGGCGGGGGCCTCAGGGTCAGCCCCGAGCAGGGCAGAGTTATTAGCAAGACCCAGCCCCGCAGAGTTAGCCGCGTGGGAGACCCAAGCACCGCTGTCCCCGATTAAAGTGGTAACTGCGACCTGAGACAGTGCGCCCGGGAGCCCAGAGGAGAAGGCAGAGGGGGCCGCGTGCACGCCCAGGGAGCCCGTCACCAGGGCATGCAGAAGTGGTGTGCGCAGGCGGACGTCAGGGCGTTGGAGCTGCTGGCTGGGAGCGGCTGCGGTGGGCGAGAGTCCTCGGCTGTCTGGGTCCTGCAGGCTTCCCCAGGCAGCGGCCCCGCCCAGCGAGGAGGAGAGAGAAGCTCTACCTGAGGACGGTGGTGGCACTGAGGGCCCCGTGAGTGGTGCCCGGGGCCTGCCCAGGGAGGGAGGCGATGGGGTGGGTGCAGGCAGGGTGCCAGCCTCGGTCGTGTGGGCGCCCGGAGAGCTGGGAGCGCCACGGCTGGGCCACAGAGTGGTCCCATTCTCCCGGGGGGTGCTGGAAGGCCCAGGGAGGGCGAGGGTGCCCACAGGAGCCTCGACAACCCGCGTTTCCGCCCGGGCCAAGCTCTCAGTGGGGACGGTGTCATTCCACAGCTGGACAAAGCTCCGGATGCCTTGGGCCACGTTCAGGATCTTGGCTCCCACACCGGCAATGTTCTCCTCTGGCGTGTCCGGGCTCTCGGCAGAAGTGGGGGTGCCCTGGCTGTCCTCCAGCAGCTCTGAGGGTGGCTCAGGGCTGCCAGGGGCTGTCGCTGGCTCCGTGGAACCATCCTGGGGGACCACGTGCGTGGTGGTGTCTGCTGTGGGCTGCACAGGCAGGAGCCCCTGGGGCTCAGGGATCGTGGTAGCTGCTTGGCTGGTGTCCTTATTATTGAACCAAAGCCAGTTCAGGTTCAGCAGGTCGGCCTGAGCAGCTGCCAGGCAGCAGAAGAGCAGCAGCAGGACGCGGCAGCCACTGGGGTCGGGAGCCATCGGGGCTGTGCCGCTGGAGCCGAGGGCGGCGGGAGGGCCTTTGTGCCTGGAGGTGGGGCTAGCCGGGCTCCCGCCCTCCTGCCCTCCCCTATGCAGGCTTCCCAGCCTCTGGCCTGTTCTGTCTCCCACCCCTCACTCTTGCAGAAGGAAAGAAGGCACCAGCCTTGGAATCAAGGTGCCCAGCACCCGAGGGTTCCAGCACCCAAGGATTTTCCACTTCTTTCCCACGGCCCTGCAGCAGCCCCAGGCTCCGTGAGGACAGAGGGGCAGTGTGTGCAGTGTCCGCGGGGTTCCCCATGTGCTCTGCTAGGCTCTGCCCGGGCAGGGCTGCTGAGTCTCCAGACTCTGGGGTTCCAGGCCAGGACCCCATCCCAGAAGCACTGAGGCAGCGGCCCCCAGCCCCTGCTCCCGCTCTGGCCTGGAACGCCCAGAGGTGCCTGGCCCGGAGCCATTGTGCTGTAGGAAACTTGGAACTGAAAAAATGCTCAGCTTGCTGCAGTGCCAATTCCACTGTTGCAATGGCTGCCCAAGTCGTTAAACATCCCGGGGAGGGTCTCGGGGGGCTCAGACCCCCTCAGAGCCACTGTGCCTCCCCTCGAAGCTGGGGCTTTACTTGTCTTGGACTGTGTCCCTTTCAGCCCTTCCTGACCTTCTGCCCAGGAGACCCAGCAGAGGTGGAGCCTGGGACCAGGGCAGGAATGCATCCTCCTTCCCGGCCTCAGTCTCCCCGTCAACAAAAGGATCCGATTAGACTGGAACATTCCAGGCAGTGGGTAACCCACAGGGCTGTGAATGGCATGTGAGTGGCTGCTGTGCCCCCACCAGCTGCCCAGGCACAGCAGTGGGTGCTGAGTGTGCCTTACGCCCTGTGAGGATCTGTGTGCAGCCCGGCCATCAGCCCATTTCACAGATGAAGAAAACTGAGGCATGAGCCTGGGGACCCTGCTCAAGATCACGGAGTCCGGAAGAGATGGAGCCAGATGGAATCCAGGCAGTCTACACAGGCATGCTCACTCACACACGTGCACTCACACGCACACACGTGCTGTCACACACATGTTCACACATGTGTACATCCTCACACGCACATACCCACAGTGTTCACCCCACAATCCATCCCCCCCGCCGCAGCACTCTGCACGCCCGCTCCCCCAGCTGGAGTCCCTCGTCACCCTGCCTCCTCCACGCTGTGTGGCTGGGGTCGCAGCCACCCTCCCCCAGGGCTGGGGTCAGTAGATGTGACAGCAGCTATGACGAAACAGCCTCACAACCTGTCTCCAGCTGTCCCCAGGTCAGGACATGCTACAGCCAGCGGCTGATTGCTCCCACAGGGCAGGGCTGGGCTGCCTGGGACCTGGCCTCGTTTCAAGCAGCTGAGTGCCACATCCCTCTCGAGGGCAGGCGCAGGCATTCCACAAGCAAACACCTGCGTCTCGGCGAGGCCTTGCTCCCCAAACTAATCCCCACACTGTCTAAACTCGTCTTAGAGATGCCCAGAGAATAGTCTCTTTGCTTGAAAACTGACTGCCGCTGATGTGATTTTATGCTTAAACACGCCTCCGAAAAGTCTCCGAACAGAAATTCCAGAGACCGCCCCCTCCTCCCCCAGCACTTCTCGGGGAGGGAACTCTGGGCTCCACTTGTGGGGGATGCCCTGCCACACTGTCAGGGTGGGGACGCCCCCAGCCCCATCCCAAAGGCTCTGTGCTCAGAGGGTCAGTCACACCCCCCACATACAGCTCCTGGGCAGAGCCAGGCACAAGGAACTGATTACACCCGGCGATGGCGGGACAGCAGCTCTGGCCCTCGGGGCCACACTTGGAGGATGGTGGCAGCCCCATCGCACTGAGCACCCACCCTGCCATCTGCAGGGTGCCCAGCTCCCTCCAACCTTCACCTGCCCACTGCACTCCTGACCCCACCCTTCCTGTCCATTGTCCAGGACTCCTCCACCTCCAAGTGCTCTGAGAGCCTCCTGTCCCCCATCGGGGTTCCCTCACCTCCAAGCACCTCCACAGCATCACACATTTCACCTCTTGGAAATCCTAGTGCAGCTCTGCCACGGCCCCCCAGCTCAGCCCCTGGGATCTGGTTCCCACCAGGAAGCACCTGGCAAGGGTGGCTACTACATGAGCCTCCTACATGTCATCACACACACATGCGTGTATACACACACGCTCACACAAACACCCACACATGCACACATCTACGTATGCTCACTCCTGCTCACACATGAACACATGCAATGCATGCTCAGCTATGCCATACGTCATGTGTGAATACTCACATGCACAAGCCCACACACGTACATACATGCTCACACGTCACACACACAGGGCATATGCATACTCAGCTCTGCCATGCATGCTCACACGACCACTCACACGTGTGCACACACACACACATACTTGCACACACATACAGGCAAGCACACTCACCATGTACTTGCGCTCTCAGAAAGCACCCTGGTGTCACCCAAGTCTTCCAGCAGCATGGCCAGGGATCCAGGCCTCCTCGGCCCCTGCCCAGCTCCGTGTAAAGGGCCTGACTATGACTCGTTCCAGGAGTCTGTGTGCCCAGACGGCACCATGAGCAGCGCGGACCAGGGTTTCGGCGCGGACCAGGGTTTCGGCGCAGCCTCTTCCCCTTGGTGGAGGGAGCGGAGAAGCTGAGGCACAGGGAGCAGCGGTTGGCAGTTTCCCTGCAGCTCCTTGGCCCCTCCTGGGGTGAGTGCGGCCTCAGGCCTGCTAGAGATGGAGGACACATGTCATCATGAAGGACCTTGAGGAACCGCTTGGCTCTGATGGGGCGGCTGGGAGGCCCATGATGGAGCTCACATGGGATGACCCAAGCTAAGGAGGAAGAGGGTCCACGGCTCTCGACAGAGCAGAGCTGACAAGACAGGTGAGACCCCTCCCTGGGGGTGCGCGGGACCTGGGTGACACAGGAGAGTACCCCAGTCTGAAGTCCTTCTACCCTATTGCCTTGAGGCCTGAGATCGACCTTCCCAGTCTGACTTCGCAGAGGAAGCAGCCTTCGAATCCCACCACCTTCCCCTCTGAGTGTTCCTGGGCTGAGCGCAGAACACGGGGTCCTCATTCAACTCAACAAGGGAATGTTAACCACAAACTCCCTCAGCAAACCCCACACAGACAAGCACATCATCCCTGCGAAGGCCAGCGGGGAGCTGGGGAAGAGCATGGCTCAACAATCCCGGGGGATCCTGGAAAGGCGGCACCACAACACAGCCACCCAGCTGCGTCCCCAGGGCCCCGGAGCCTGTGGGGCCCCTTTCTCTGGCTCTCAGTTATGACAACAGGCGGGCCAAGGGGCTCCCTTCCTGGAAGCCAAGCTGACCCAGCTGCTGTGTTGGGCATCATCACAGCCTGTCCCACTCCGCGTGGAGGGACTTGGGTTGACTCCCTGCTCTACTCCCCGGCTAACCTGATGAGAAAATGGATCTCCTCTGTTGCTAGGCTACAGTGCGGCGGCACCATGGCCCCTGCTGGCCGGCCATCTGGCCAGGGCACTAGAAATGCCCGTTGGAAGCTGTAGCCATGGGCTGCCCACATGCAGCCACTCCTGTTATCACGACCTGCCCGCTCCTGAGGGTCCTGAGGCGAACAGCTCAGAACCCCACACCCCTTAGAGGACCTGCCGTCCCCCACCGGTGCCGTCCTGCAGAGTCGGGCCCTGTCTCCTGAGGTGACGGGGCCACTGGAGCAGCCACGAGGCCCTGGAGCCTCAGCGTCCACCTGGTCTTGGTGGACCCAGGCGTGCTGTCCCATCATGGAGCGGGTGTCCTCCCTCAGCCTCTGGCGTCCACACAGCCATGGAGGGCTCGCCACTGCCACGCCAGCCACGAGCTCTGAACGCTGAAGCAGCTGGCAGCAGGGTGCAGGGTGGGTACAGCGGGAGGGAGGCCTGAGATGCAGGGGGAGGTCATATGCACCAGTGGCCGTTTCAGACGCCAAGGGAGACTCCGCCCACCACGAACACAGGCGCCAAGAACTGGGCCTCCCCACTCCCTGCACCCCATCTGGTCTCCAGGAAGCCTCTTCCCACTGCCTTCACCTGCCCCGAGCCAGGGTTTGTCCTGTCTTGTTGGTCTGTCTGGTTTGGATTCCTAAATAGTGTGATCTTTTATTTTCTTTTTTAAAAAAGGCACAAACACCCACACGTGAACAGGGGAAACTGGTTCGTCAGGGGGTAAAGAGGGGGGCCCATTTCCGGGCTGAAGGCCCCAACCGTAGCTTCGAGGCTCCGGGCTGTTCAATTGTCAGAAGTGCTCCTCCTACTCGTGGCCACCCTAGGCCTCAGCCTGTGGCGGGTGGCTCTGGGCTCCCTCCCCGTGGGCCTCCCACACCTCAGCCCTGGAGGCTGGGGGAGGACGACACAGATGAAGGAGCAGGGCAGCCCCCACCTGAGCCACCCCCTTCGTTCCCTCCCTGTCCTTGCCCCCAGACACCTGCCTGAGCCCAGAATGTCCTGCAGAGACCCCTCAGGTGTGGCCTCCCTCCCCTCCTTCCCCAGGGATCAGAGACTGTCCAAGGACAGGCCCAGGCAGGGCTCCTGGAGAGTCCACAGGGGGAAACCTGGGCCCTGAGGTCCCAGTACCCACTGCCCATGGGCACACCCCCCAGGCGGGCACAGCCAGTCAAGGTTTGGATGCCACGGACACGTCTCCAGCCCTTTTGAAATGAAAACATGACTTTTCATCTTTCTGTGGCGCAACTAGTTTATGATTGTCTAAAGTCTCTGAATGTGCTTCCCGGACTCTGTATCTTGTGGCTACTTTTTCAAACCACAATGATAAAAGGCCAGAAGCTCTGCAAGTGCCCCCTGAAGGCTCCGCTGCTTGGCCAGGACCTCTCACCAGACCTGGACCGGGCACAACTCGGCCAGCGGCATGACCAGCTGCCGCCGTCTGCAGATTCAGTGGCTGGAGGTGGCCGCACAGTGAGAGGGCCAGGTGGCTGGGCCCAGGTCCAGGTCCCTGGAGGGTGCTCCCCTGTCACCGAACACCACATGGACCTGAAGACCTATGGAGGCAGAGGGGGTGTGACAACACCCTGTCTAACGTCTACCCCCCGCTTACAGCCTCTTTCCCCCTCTGCTCAGTGCTCAGGGTGTCCCATAAGCCCATTCTCTCCTCCACAGTGGGGCAGAGTGGAGGCTTCTGTCCCCTGATTCCACGACGAGGCTTCTCTTAGCTCTTCCCTGGATGTACATTCCTGGACTCAGCCGTGTCTCTCCCCAGGCTCTGGTGTCCCTCTGACCGCTCGGCAGAGCCTGGGGACCAACAGGTGGGGAGCCTGAGTTCTTCAACCTCTTCAACCCCAGTCCTCCGCTGGGTGATCACGAGCGGTGGGAGCCTTCTTGGCTCCTAAATTAATGCCAAGCACAGCCTGGCGCTCAGCGGGCAGCCTGCCTCTTCCCGCACCTGGCTGGCGGCAGCTGGAAGCCCACGAGAGCCAGGTCCTCCCCTTGGGCTTGGTGCAACCTCCACCGCACCCCCACGGCCCACCCTTGGGAAGGCCGCCAGAGACACGGGAGATGGATCACTGGTGAAGGGTCATGAGCCGGGCAGCGGGGCCTGAGGCAGGAGCAGCATGAGGACGAAAGCGTCGCAGGGAAAAGACACTTGAGGCATCTTCCCAGGGACAGCTGCCACCTCTGCCCCTGACAGGAGGCCACAAGGCCACATGGACCCCTGCCATGGTTCTCCACAAAGCCTGCATCTAGGCCGGGGGTGGTGACTCACGCCTGTAATCCCAGCACTTTGGGAGGCCAAGACGGGCAGATCACGAGGTCAGGAGATCGAGACCATCCTGACTAACACAGTGAAACCCCGTCTCTACTAAAAAATACAAAAAATTAGCCGGGCAAGGTGGCGGCGCCTGTAGTCCCAGCTACTCGGGAGGCTGAGGCAGGAGAATGGCAGGAACCCGGGAGGCGGAGCTTGCAGGGAGGCGGAGCTTGCAGTGAGCCGAGATCACGCCACTGCACTCCAGCCTGGGCTACAGAGCGAGACTCCGTCTCAAAAAAAAAAAAAAAAAAAAAAAAAAAGTCTGCATCTAAACACGAGCAGGCAGGTGGATAAGTCCAGGCTGCGGGACAGACACCCCCACAGAAACCCAGCTGGACTCCCAGAAACACTCATGTCAGGAAGAAGGCGGTGGGGCGGCGGGGGCGGGCAGGGCTGCTCCAGAGTCAACAGACTACAGAGCAGGACACTAATGCAACACGTGGTCCCCGACGGCTCTGGGACTGCCCAAAAGACACGCAGGCCAGTGGGGCAAAGGACATTATGGAGTGCATCTGGAGACGGCCTGTTCACGGGAGCATGGACAGAATTATTGTAAACTTCTCAGGCGTGACGATGACACTGTGGCTCTGTGGAAGAATGTCCTTGTTCCTGGGATATGCACACAGAAGTGCATCTACAGGGCAATGGGTGGAGATGCTGTGGCTCACCTCAGCGAGTGTCTGTACTTGCTTGTGGATATGCAGGAGCACACATGTGTGCGTGTACATGGATGTGTGGCTATGGATACACGCATGCGTGGCTATCTGTGTGCGTGGATTGCATGTGGATTATGTGTGCAAACAGACGAGCATGCGTGAATGTGTGCATGGGTATGTACATGTGCACACATGGATATGCATCACGGATGTGTGCAGATATGTACACATGTGGAGGTGCATGTAGATATTCTTGTGTGTGCACACACATGGATACCTGTGTGTGTGGATATGTGTGTGTGTGGATATGGATGGAGAGAAAGGGAGCGCCTGGGAAAAATGTGGCAAGTGTTTGCTTGTGAGTTGAATGGAAGGTGTGTATGAGCATTTT